AAAAGACATTGGCCATTTTCTGGAATCCCAAAATAATTTCAAGGTGGATGGATTTACAAACCGGGAAAACTGCTGCAGCACACACTAGTCAGACGTGGTCTGGGGTTTCTGAGCGGTCCTTCTCCTGTGGCCCCACTGAGCTGCCTGTGCCACTTCTGACACGCGCAGCGGCTTTTCACCACCGAAATACCACTGGGCACAGAAGGAGGGGGGCTGCTGTGGAAGTTTTGGTCTCTTGCCCTTCCCACTGACTAGTGGTGATAACCTGATGTATGCTGCAACCCGGACTTCCTGCACACGGCCAATTGTCTCCAGGAGGAGACAGGCAGCTGGAAGAAAAATGCCTGCTTTCAACGCAGCTGGAGCACAGACGTACAGCGAGTGTCCCTTTTGGCACTTCCTTTTCCAGGCTGACCCTAGCAAGAGGTGCTCCTTCCGCACTGAAGAAGGACCACTGGGCTGAAACGGTCTCGACTCTCACTTGTGAAACCTGCTGAGCAGGGGCAGTGCCCTGCCAGCACTCCCTTTCAAGGACAGCAGGCAATAGCGAGAACCCTGCAGCAGCAGACGGCCAGCACAAAACCCCCCTTCAAACATACCTCAGGTTTCTTCTTTCTTTACTTCACAGAAGTCCGTTTACTGCAGACACTTGGGGCAGAATTCAGCCTATCCACTCCTCAGGGACAGTCCTGTGTTAAACTGAACACACTCAAACTGCCAAACTGCTTTTGGAAGCTCCCCAGAGCTGCATGCAGAAATAGGCTCTTGAGCATACAGTAGGGATGCCTGTGGAGGGTCAGCAAGGTGCATCTCTGGCCAGAGCTCGCTGTCCACTCCTCCACCGAAGCAGCAACAGGAGGAGATGTAACCACGCAAGCCTCTCCAGGTCACAGGAGTCCAAGGAGAGGTAGGAGGCTAAGTCCAGGCCACCAACATTGGTTTCCTATGGATACAAGGAAGTTGCTCATGCACAAGATAGACTGAGGCAGAAAGTCAGGCTATCTTGTACAGGGAAGGCCCTTCTACTGAGGGGATCTTCAGAAAAGCGGCCAACAAGAAAGCCCGCAAGGAGCTGAAGAAGGACCTGAACAAAGGCAGGCAGGTTGATCTGGAGAGCAAATCTGTGCATCTGTTGGCAGTGGTCTTGAAGGTAAGTTCTGCTGCCTTTGAGCTGGGAGAGTGCGTTGCAAATCTGCATGGGCCCACTTCAGTGTCTAGCCCGAGCCAGGGGGGACTCAAAGCTAAAACAGTAGTGAAGCCACACAAAATGTTTCAGGCTTAGGCCAGCTTGGTGTTTGTCTTTTCCACTGGATTTTCAGTTCCACTGCAGTTCCTGCCTGTAAACCAAATCAAAGAAACAATTCTGGCTCAAAACTCTTGGAGGACAAGATCTGGTTTTCTTTCTCCCGGGTCACTTCAGCAATTTAGAGCACAGTTCCATGAACAGGAGCATTAAAGTAACTGAGGTGGTTACAAACAGAGGCGCAGGGACAGGAAAAAGAAGGGGCGGGGAAGTAGACAGTTTTCTTCTGAAGCGTCACAACAAAAGCCAGCAAACTGTGGAGCTCCACCCCACGAGCAGACAGAGTTCATCTGCAACATACGGTCTGCTACTTCTGCTTTGGACTCGGTACTATATATGCTGGTGTAGGAAAAGATACTACCTCTCCCCACACACCAGCCCACGCTCAATAACACGCCCACAGAGGTTTAAGCGAAGTGAAAAGTACTAATATTCCCTCTGCCTACGACTACGACAAGAACTTGGAGATTTCCTCTTTTCTGAGGGCTTAGCTTTCCATCCCTCTTGTTGGTAGAGCACAGACATTTTAACTAACCCCAAGCAAAATAAAACCGGAACAATAAAAGATAGGTCATCACCAGGAAGTGACACAGAGCTCCAACTCTAGCAGCAGCAGCAGCGGATCAGGTACTAGGGAGGTGTGAAGGCCCCTGGCTGGCAGCCACAGTACGTCCAGACCCAGAACTCCTGGGGCCAGCTCCAGGCTCTGCAAGAGACCGTGTCCTCACGCAGAGATTGCCACCACAGTTTGTTTTTGGAGACCACCCAGTGGCTGAGACATGCGGCCGGGGCCAGAGTAACAGAATTCATCTCCAGTGCAACGCCTTCGTCTTCACACGGTCTGTGGACAACAGGCGCGTAACAGGCAGCTC